AATTTTTCCCATCCTTCAGTGCTGCTGGCAGATGGGTTCTCGTGAGCATGCCCTGCTCTGCATAAGGGTTAGCTGACAGCTGACAGTTTGAATTGGAGGTTTTGCCTGGTCTGGTCTGAGGACACCTCTGAGCCCATCCCTCCTGCAGGTCACCTCTCTAGTGATGGSTGCAGGTTATCAGTGAGCAGCACCCAGGAAGACTGCGGCATTCTCACTGTGATCGGCAGACCTGGCAAAGGACATTGATCCAAACCTTTCCCAGAGAAAGAACATCGAGTTCATGTGGCTGTTAAATTGCAGAGCTAATCCTTCCGTGACTCATAACTCTAGCATGTGCTTTTCTGCTAAGGAGTCATCTAATAGACTTCATTTTCTTTTTTTTTCTTTTTATCAGATGCAGATTCATTGAAAGCATTTAGCAGTGCTTTCTCCCATCTGTCAATAATCTTGATTCAAACTACAAAAAAAAAAATTGCAGAAAAATAAGATTTAAGGTAATTTCCCCGTTTTTGAAAAGCTGCTGTAGTTAGTTGATTGCTAAAACATTAAAGATACTGCACAGASCAGAGACCCAGATGTCAATATTTACCATTTTGTTTTGGTTTTTTCCAATACCATCTACCTGAAAAATTACAGTGAAATTTATGAAACAAGTAGCCCAAATAGCAGCACTGCCAATGAACTTCAATAATGAGCTAAATAATGTAAGGCTTGTAAGAGGTAGCTCAATATTTATTTCTGAAATCCTGTTTTTCTCCATTCCTCTGAGAAGCTGAGAACCTGGTGCTTCAAATGGAAAGAYTGAGCCTTTGCATAGATGGATTGCAGCTGGAAGTCAGAACCAGCTACAATAACTAGCCACACAAGCAATCTGCATGTTTCCTGAAAAATGTAAAGCATGGTGCTGAGGGCTCACCAGCTGCTTTTTATGAAACCTTTTATGCCATTGTTTGGCAGGTATAAAATGCAAACACCTCTATGAAGTAAACTTGAGCTCTACTCTCTGAAAAAAACACTCATTAAGGATTCCTTCTGCAATTTTTGATTGGAAAGATGAGCTCTCCTCGTGTGACAGAGCTCTGTTACTGCAGGAGACTGTGAAAGATTGGATAACTGCATCAAGCAAATGGCCACGTGCTGTTTCACATGCCTCACCACCTGATGCAAAATACACACGGGTGGAAAAGGGAGAACATTGAATTCTTGCCTCTCCTCGGTGTTTKAAGCAGATGCTGCTCAGCACTAACGACAGAGGAAGCCCTGTGGGTAGATTTGCAGCAGTGCTGTGAGTTGGGACTTGCTGTCAAGGTAGCRAAGGGAATTATTGCATTAGCAGTCTGCACTGGTCTAAATGTATGGATAGCAGCACATCAAGGGAAATCCATTATGTTTGCACATGCCTTCCTACACTAAAAGGCTTGTGTTTTTTCCTGGGGGCTGTTGATCCTCCTTTATGTATCTCACTGTGCCCTGGGAAARCTTCTTTTCCTGCAGAATTAGATGGCATGCCTGTGGATTGCTTACTGAAACGTTAGCAAGGATAGCAAATGACCTCTCATATCTGATATATATCACAAATATCATATCTGCATCATTATTATTATTATTTTCATAGTGATGCAAGGCTTTACACCATGCAGTGCTTTTCATTCAAATATCTGGAACATTTGAGAATAGTGATTGTTGTAATTAATAGACCTCTGAAATAATATGGTTGTCTTTTCTCATTGGTGGCTGAATTGGAAAATGCATTTATTTAAGTTAGAGCAAAGGAAAATCAGTTCTTAAGAAAACATTCTACTGTTCAGATACTTTCAGCAGAACAATATGGGGTTTTATTGACACTGACTTAAAAATTTCCCTTTTTTCAATATAAAAAATCAGCATGTCAAAAGTGATTACTTCCTATTTCATACTCTCCTATTTTGTAAGGTTTTACTAATAAGCTTTGGTAAATCTAAAGCTAATAAAACATWCTTACACTAAAAAAACAAATGCATTTTAATAGTTGCATCCCCCAGATTTTTGAATGAGAGGGAGGTTATGATGTTGTATGAATAAACGATCAGACTTGGACAGGTAAATTTATCTGCTGGGAGATGACAGCTGCGAGCTACATCTGGGGGCAAAATCCAGAACTCATCCATCCAAAGCTAAGTGTTAGCATGCTGTATGATTTATGTGCTTGTTGCACATTCTAGCAGGGTATTTCCCTACCAAATTCTATTCTGTGTGAACTGATTCTGTAGGAGCTGTAGCTTGAAGGCATCTCACCTCCGGCCTTAGATGTAGCACCTCAGGTTTCTATCTTGTGAAAGGGGATGGTRCACACAAGGTATTTCTCTGGCAGTGACTTTCTGAGGAGAGCATGTTACTGTTGATCCAGTAMATTAACTTGAAAGAACATGCAAGAATGACAGCATTTCATAGCTCCTCCTGTCAGTGAGCATGATGACTATCATATGATTCACTGTTGGCAGGAACGTGTGTGTTTTCTCTATTTCTCCCAGCAGTGGTCCGCTTTTTCCTAATCAAGAAGCTTTACATTTTTTGTCCCTGTAAAATTTAACAGTGGTGGGAAGAGTCTCCACTGCCAGATAAAGCCATGGAGCTAACAGTCCTGCACTCCCTGCCCAGTTCTTGGTGTGTCTGGAAGATTATATGGAGAATAAAATGCCCTTGAAGCCAGGAAAAGGTAGCAGCAGCAGGCAGAGATTATGSAGTTCACKGTAATAACTCTGCAGGCTGTAATCYCTGCRTCTGAAAGCYTCATTTTTCATCAGAAATGTGAGAAGGGCTGGTTTCTACATTTCATCTTTCTCTTAAAACAGAGCTGAAGTGGCAGATGCAGCTTTTGTGGTTGCATGGCAGGGGTGTGTGTGTGATTGCTATTATCAGTACTTGCTGAGTCATTATTTGTAATTACTGAAAAAACAGGGAAATTTACTTTAAAGATGTTAAATCCACTTCTGGCAATCACAGGCAAAATTTTGGTTTTAAGAACATTCACMAAAAACACCCAGAGGTCAGCAATTCCAACCAGACATTAGTACTAAAGTATGTATTCCGTCAGTATATCATCACCTTGGAAACTCCTTAGGCATTGCTCACTGAAAAAATACTGAGACTTTAGAGACCAAATCAGAGAAGAAAAATATTAAAGACCAGTATTAAAACAGCATTTGAGAACTCCTGAAGACAAGATGTATTCAGACATGCGTTTTCTTAAATAATTCTGAATGTTTTAAGGTGCATTTAAAAAAAAATCCTGCTAAATATTTTACAATAACAAAATTTGGTAAATGAAGTTCATCACAGTGAACAATCTATCCTGCTTTATTTTAGTCTCATTTTAAGATACATCAAGATGACAATACAGTAAATGTAAATTAAAACCTCTTGTGCATCAAATAAGCTCATTTACATGRATGAGTTATAAAATTTTTTCCTGTGTGAAATGTGGTCTCGAATGGRCTAATATTGATTTTACAATATTTGTTTTATAATTGCCTGATTTTTTAAAAAATAAATCATGGCAGCTGTCATTTTTGCACTAGGAGGTATAAGAGGTGAATCCAGGTTATTAACCACAAGGCTGAAAAATAAATAATTTATGCTAACAGAGAAACTTGTCAACGAATGAGAGAGAATGCAAAATGGAAAAATAAGACCATGTACTTTGATGTTTTGAATGAAACAGTTACTAACACCATTATGGCATCCTGGTTGATCCCACTCAGTCACTGTGCTAGAAAGTTGGAATCTCAGCATTAAATATTGGAACACTACCATAAGGATACACCCTGTGTCCACCGAGTACTGACACCCTGTTAGCCACTGGCGCCCAAAAAGTGCCAACACTAGGATAAGCCTGACAGGTCCAGCTCAAGCCCTCTACRTGTGACATGCCAGGGAGATGAAGGCGTAGGAGATGTAGCCAAAAATACCTAAGCTTAGGGCCCATTTTTCTCATTGATATTTAGGATTGCAAATGAAACAGAAATACCCAAATTCAGAGTCTGAATGTTTGGATAGATCTCTGCTTTACAGCATCTCTCTTATTTGGGAGTAGGTCTCAGTCTTACCTCTTATGAATTTTTCAAAGCCTAAACGCTGTTCTGTGTTGCCTCATTGCTGCATCTTTATTTAATTATACAGTGCAAGAACAGGACAAAACTTCCTGCCTTCATGTTTAKTCTGTGAAATATGCTCCCTTAAATTCACCTAACTCTATTTTTTTTGATTTATTGCAATTCCTTTTACCTACAATTTTTTTAAAACCTGCTCTAAATGTAATTTACTCAATTTCAGGATCATTGATCTGAACAATGGCAGTAAATGTAATCAGGAAATAGACAAGTACAATAGAATTTTGTTTTTAAATAATTTCATTTGCTTATTTATTTACTTTACACTTTAGAATGACTTGTACATTTTGGCTGTAGTCTACCAAAGCAAAATACTTATTTTTAAAACCTCAAAAAGAGACAAGAAAATTAGTATTGGGGTTCTGAGGTCCGCAGTTTAAAGAGCAAAGACTTTCTGAAGTCTATATATCAGTTATCAATTTAACATGGTCTTCAGCATTCCTTTTTTTCCTACTCTACATATTTTTTGATTAACTATTATCTAATTCTTTGGAAAATATTGCCATGAGATGACGAGTCTTTTCCTTGCACATTTCTAAATTCTTCGCTGCTGGAAAACAAAACCACAAAACCACACCAAGTCTCTTCCCCTGACATTTCCAGACCACACCCACCACTGTAACATTCAGCTGCTTGAGATCAAGACCTCACAGAAGAATGCAGCCACTCAGATCAGGTTTTTGGTGCCTCTGAGGGTTGCATGGTCAGTGGGCAAAGTGGATATTCCGTTCTTTTCTTTATTACTCAGCATCACAGAGACACCTTCTRAGTATTTCTAATATTTATGCAGGATGGGTTCACAGATAATGACACTTAACAAGTGGGAGCAGTAATAAAGCAAACTTGYTGAATGTTTTCTGTAAAACATGCCAAAAATATTCATAAAATCAAATTAAGGAACCTCACAGAGGCTAGACAGAATGAAGTTCTGTTAACAAAGCGAATAATTCATGGTAGAAACGTCAAGACTTCCTTGCTGTTGGAAGATACCGGTGTTCCCATGCTGCAGAGGCTTTGTTTGTGACAATGCATTAACTGTGTTTGCAAGGAGCCAGAACAGTCAGTAAATAACAAGATTGTGAGGAAGTATGAATGACATATATGATACTGTGGAGCTCATGATGAAATACTGTGYTATTTATCCACTTGCTTAAGCTAATCTTCTTGAACAGCATGGCATTAGCTTTTGTTTACCAGTGTATTATAATTAATGAGTTAAGAATGTTCTTAATTACATGGACATAGTACATACCTCCTTAATCTTAAAGAAATATTGTTCTTCTAAACATATCTGGGTTGAGAGAACCTCTGTAGATTTGATTACCCTAACATGTATTGCATCCTTGTAAATATTTTGCTTTCTTTTCAGACAAACTTTGGCATCTACCTGATGAACCAACCCTTGCGCTCTTCCTTTTCAAATATTTTATCAGTTGGATCTCAAGTACTTCCAGTGCTGAAGGAGAATACAGAAATCCAGCCTCCAACATCCAGTGAAGAAAAATGTTCAGGATAGATTCTCTGGTGGTGATGAAATTTTTATGCAACTACAGGAAAAAGTCAGTAGTCAGTTACTTAAAAAAAGGAAAAAACTTCCACYCATTTACTTCTGGTAATTGTCTGTTTGCTGTAAATGTTATCAGATGGCAAAACTGTTGATAATTACAGYTCACCTACATGTTTTTGCTTGTGATTAGGATGCAGTAGCCATAATTCTATTTTGCACAATTGCTTCAGGATGCAACAGGTTTGATCAGGTTTTGCTGGTGGATGACTCCCAAAACAAGCCCAGCTTCGTTGTCAGAAAGCCACATCTCAATGAAGGAAAGTAAACATAATAACACACTACTTCCTTCTGCTGCTTTGTTAAAACCCCAATTAGGAGAGAGGATGCAAGACATGTTTTAGAAACAATGTGGGTGGGAAGAGAACAGTGGGAGAGTGGCATGAGAGTAGCAGTGCATTCAGCTTTTCCAAAAGGAAACTGAAGCAGACAGTCTGAAAGCAATGGAAAATAGGGAATAGTCTGTGTCTCCCCCTTTGCAAGTGGCGTGTGAGGATGACAAAAAGGTATAGAGATAATGAAAATTCAGGATGCCACTTGCAAAACATGTTCCTTGTGAAGGAATTCCATCCATTTGTTCTCAACTTCTTTATCTTCCATTTGTTACTTTTCCATCTGATTTATTTCATGCAATGTCTTCCCAGGGATTTTTTGTGAGATGGTGTCCCTGCCTGTGGAACATTAGTTGGAGCTAAATGATCTTTAAGGTSCCWTCCAACCCAAGGCATTCCATGATTCTATGAGTCCCACACTCTTGTTTATATATGTGTGAGTGCTGACACATTATTTTTAATTAGAGATTTTTCAAGTAAAACAGTCATTTTTTATACAAATTTTCTTATCCTCAGCAATTTCTAATGGTCATTCAAGGGAGCTCTCGAAAGTTTAGATGCTTCCCCATCATGAACAGGTCAAGGTATTCTCTCTTTATTCATTTCATAATGCCATTCCTAAAAGGCTTTAGAAAGCTCCTAAACAAGACTCATGCTTTCTGATTTCTGAGTGCAAATGTTTGAAACCTAAGGCTTAGTCTGAAATGTCAATTATTGTGAAAATTCAAAAAAAAAAGATAAATAAAGGAAGCCATGGAGAAAGAAAGGAAAATAAAAAACCAAACAAACATGGAAAGTCTAAGTWAATCAAGACTGAATACATKGAGGTCAGGTATTTTATGAYCCTCAGCATGTGTCCAGTTAGCTATAAGATGACTTCATGCTTCCAGGAWGTCCTTCTGGAAGAAGAAATTCTCCTGATTTGGCTGCTCTATTGCCATCTGACCCCGCTGAAAGCACCGTCAAAACTCTCATCCAATCTGATTTAGATCTTCCTTGGGGCAATTTTGGCTCCAGCTGTGTGAAAGTGCTTCTGGCTGGAGCAATCCTTGAGTTGTTTGAGCATACCCCCGCAGGGAGGCAGGCGGCTCTGTGAAAGACTTGGTCAAACAGTCATTCTGAAAGGGGAGTGACTACCACAGAGCAGCACAGAATGGGAAAAAGGAAGCTCATCACCCAGTGCACAAATCAGGATTAAAAAATACTCTTTCTTCTGTCTCTTTTTTTCTTTTTTCTTTTTTTTTCCCCCTTTTTTTTTCTTTAATATATAATGGCTTCTTCTTTCTTTTGTTCTTTTGAGAACTGGTTTTACTCACTTCAGCTGGAACAGTCTCTCAGCAGAGCTTTGTAATGGAAATGAGAAGAGACATTATCTGTTTCTTACAATCTGCCATAAAATACATGGAAAGAGAGGGGTTTTTCATATGTATGTAAACTTAGAATCAGTTTTGAGAGTTGTACCTTCGACTTCAGAGCCCAAGGTCTGCTCCTTGATGTCTGCTTTAAATAGCAGGGGGTTTATCTCTCTAATAGTCAATTATCTGAAGTTGTAATGAGCGGGCTTTTTGCAGCCTTGAAARGCAGTTTCCTGGTATCTAAATCTCRTAACTGCTTCACTCTCTGCCTTTCTGTTATGCAGAACATTGCTTTGTTGGGTAGAAAGCCAGSGCAGCTCTCAGATTTAATATGAAGAGACCTGCTGTATGCTGACCTTCAGGTGATCTCCAGTGCTCTGCTCTGTCCTCTTCACCTCAGCACTGTGTCATTTGTTTAAAATGGCACAGAAGTTAGGAAAGGAAATTGAAAGCAACCTCAACAAGCTCTGTTTCACTCGTTATTGCATTTAGTACAAAATAAGTCACTTTGGTACACAGTGGCTTGACAAATACAGTCTGTGAATATCCATAATGCAGCGTGTGATAACTACGGATGAGAGGATTTGAACTTTAAAAATGTCATGCTTGGTCATTTTGACCTATTATTTACAGTCAATTACACATTCTCTCTGCTGTGGCCTAGTAATATTAAATCAAGAATAATTCTACCATTTTACAGGGGGAAAAGAAAGATTTTCTCTGATGTATGAACATACTCATTAGTATAGTCTGTGCATTTCCCAGAAGGAACATSCTTGTGGTACAGTGATAGGAAATGTCACAACTCTTCAGATTGATGGAAGATACATAAGGAATCTTTCAGCTCAACAAAGAATAATATTTCCCTTCTAGTAAGTGGAGTGTTCCCGCCAGTACTGATATGTCTTTCCATCAATGAAGACAAATTCTTCTCAGTGCCAAAACTCTGTGGAAAATCTTTGAAGTAGGAAGTCACTTTTAAGTGGCATGCACTTTAAGTTTGTAGAAAAAACATCTGTCCCATAATGTGAAAAAAAAAAAATTCAAAAAAAAAAAGAAATTTAGCATACTGCAACCCCAAGGACTAAAGATACAAAAGGGGCATAAACACTTTGAAACACTATGTGGGAAAAGTGTATGTTCTATAAGGGTTTATTTCTTAACCTTCTAAGTATATAGAAAAAAAGACTATTTCAGATGAATGCAGGCTCTTTGATCTAAATACTCCAATTACTGCAAAATTAAATCTTTTGAATAATTGCAGATATATGTTTGCCTTATATGGATAATAAATGTACTTAATACAGTATTTCCAGAGTTCTGTATGTAGAAAGTCCTCTCTATATTTGAAAACCAAATCCTTATTTACTTGCAATGAATTATTCAGACAAATTCCATTCTGTGTGAGATTTAGCTCCTTCTCAAATCTCAAGGTAAAAATGGTGATTATTACAAGCTGTAATAATGGCCAGGAGGCTGAAATCACACAACAGAAATCAGCATTGTTAGGAGAAGTTTCTGAACTCTGTGTTCTCTGATATGACTAAGATATTTCAGATCATGATTTATATACTTTCAATTGTGCCCTTCAAAGTATGCTAAAAATTTTAGGCCATCTTTCTGTCAAAATTACACCCAAATCAAAATGAAGGACTGCATAAAGGACATGATTATTCTTCATAAATTGTAGAGATTATGCTATGCAAATCTTCTTCCATCTGTTTTTTAACTTTYTTGGAAATTAAACCAATAAAATATRTATTGTGTTTGATGTGTCTGCTGGTGATGGTTGCATTCCTGACCTTTTAGCTCACAAGGTGCTCAGTTCTGCTTGGAGGCATTGCCAGGCTCATGGATGAGTGTKTGGCTCAGGATAGATGGGGTGTCTCATCGCTGCTGGGATTCACAGGTGAGGTGTTCCCTCGTCTGTGTGGCCACATGCCAGTCAGCTGCACATTCAGGCCCTGCACAGAGTGAACTCATAAACACTGGTTTCCTTTAAAATAAGCACAGTCAGTCCTGTTGAAGCAATCCCTGTTATCCAGAGGCTGAAGCTTTCATCAAGGGTGAGATGGTGAGAGAAGTGATGGTTTATTTCCCTCTCCTTTGCCTGGAGGGATCCAGCACTGTTTCTCTCCACTGCTAACCCATCAGTCAGTGGGGGGGACTAAACAGGAGTTGGTGTGTGTAGGAATCTCAGGGAAGTTTTGTCCCTCCCTTCTCATGAGGTTTACCTGGAAATGATCTGTGACTCACGGGGCCAGCAAGAGCCAGACATGAGCACGGTGAGGCAGTTCCGCACGWGACTTGGAGCTACTTTTTCATGCATTTTTGATTCCCTGAGTGTGGGAGGGGAAGAAGAGCAGAGCTCTAACCCAAGAGGAGGAGGTGAAATGTGGGTACATCCCTGTCTCTATTACACAGCTRTCATGAGGAAACTGCTTGGGGAAAACACAGGCACAGCCCTAGGGAGGAGAGGAGAAGGCAGAGCGCTCCTCTCCGCTAGGTACGGTGAGACAGTGGATTTGCAGAGGCAGGCATGTCTCCTGGCCACCAGGGTTTAAGGACAAGATGGAACTTCAGCAAGAATAGAGAAGWACCCGCCAAGTGTGTTTTGGAATAGGCCATTTGGGGAAATATGGGTTTGAGGCATCAAAAGCTGAGATCAAAATGAACCCACGTTTCTGACTTCTTGGTATGTGTGCCAGTGGCAAGGCCAGAGTGAACAGGAAAAAAGTGGGAGAGAAAGAAAAACGGCATTTCCTAGAGTCAAAGTTTAAGAGAAAGTTGTGATGCACATGCTTTCRTCACCCAGTTTGTGATTATTTTTTCCAGAAAATGAAGGACGTAGGTATCCTCAGCTCATAAATCAKATTCTGAGAACTCAGAGTAAGCCATTGACAGAGAAGTGCCTCTTAAGCAAGGCACCATTTAAGAGGTTTCTCTTCCCTCCCTTTCATGTCAACCAGCTTGCTTTGCTGGTCACTCAGTGGCTGTGGGTCCTTTCCACTGGAAAAGAAAGTTGGCAGGTTCCCTGCATGAGGAGTGAAGTGACTCACTCAGGACTACGAACAGGGAGAGATGTTAGGGAGGCTGAGATGGGGCATCCTTGAGCATCACTGCATGTGCACAGTACCTCAGAAACCTCTCTAACAATCCCAGAAATACGTGTARCAGAAAATGTTAATCATTTTTCTGCTGGAGCTGTGAAGTCTTTCTGCAAGGGYGATATTCAGGAATTGTGCTGTTGGGGAATGGACCATTGCAAAGGCAGGACGGGGAAAGGGGACAAACAAAAAAAAAAAAGCATTTTGTAGCATTGCTGAGGGGTTCCTTAAATATCCACCAAGTAAGACAAATTGTGAGAAATCAGGGAATTTGATTTAGTACAGCAGTTTCATGGCAAATTTGAAATGACACTGATAWCAAAGGTAGAGCCTCTGCCCTTGCATGGCTCATGCATAGCCTATAACTGTGTTAAACCCAATTGCTTCCCTGAGCCAATCTATTCCAAATTTGCAACCAGAACTTGACAGCACACTTCAGATCTGGAACTGAACATCAGCTTCTCCTAGATAACCAGTATTTTCCATATTTGAGTCCCTTTCATGCTTTTTGCTGGCTTTCAGAGGTAGGTGTCCCATCTGGATTGTAGCACTCTGGCCGTAATGGTTAATGCAGAGATGATTCCTCAGTCCAGAAGTGAAATCAGCTTTTGATTTCTAAAAGGGCTGTGTTTTCCATGAGGCTGTGTTTGAAAAGCCAGCAGTGATCTAATATCAAGTCTGTTGTTTCCTGGTACTTGTGATTGATGATCAGACAAAGCTGTTGAAAATTTTTTGAGTTATTATTTCCAGAAGCTACAGAAAACTAGAAGACTGCAGGAGGCATTGCACTACTGAACCCATTCTACCCATGGAGAAGAGCCTCTGCGGTATTCTTGGATGTAATTTCCATGAGTCATGTATTAAATATCTGTAGTTGCACTGGTTTAGCCACATGCTTTGAGTTATTTCTTGTTCTCAGAGCCCTCGSTATCTTCTTTCAAGGTTTCTTCTAGCAAACCCTTTAATACTGAAATGAAAGTATTTTTTTCTTCTATCAAATGTATTGCTTTAAGAAATAAGAGAAAACAAGTTGTGTTTATGTTGGATATTTGAAGAAATTTCTTCATGGAAAGAGTTGTCAAGAATTGGAATAGGCTGTCCAGGGAAGTGGCTGAGTCACCATCCCTGGAGGTATTTAAAAGACACGCAGATGTGGTGCTGAGGGACACGGGTTASTGGTGGAATTGGCTGTGCTGGKGTAACTGYTGGACTCGATGATCTTCAGGGTGTTTTCCAGCCTCAATGTCTCTCTGATTCCAAGAAYATAAGATTTCTGTGTTTGGTTTGCTATCCAAAGCTCGATGTAATGATTTAATACACTAGGAAAGAGAAGGATTCTTGTCTGAGTTGCTTTATCTGTCAGCCAGTACTTTGAAAAAAGCTACAGTGTCCCTCAGAAATATCTGGTCAGTTAGAAGAGACTGCGCAGTGGCCCAGGGACACTGAATGTTGCCACTGCTGGCCTGTGCAGTAGCACAGGAGTTGTATATTGTGACCAGAGACTTTTAGAACAATTAAAAGCCAACAGTAATTTACATTACCAGCCTCGGAGGACTTTTCATTAACTGGTTGTGCATTGTTTTTTTGGTTGTTGTTTTTTTTGTTTTTTTGTTTGTTTTTTGTTTGTTTGGTTGGTTGGTTTTTTTTTTTTTTTTTTTTTTTTTTTTTTTTTTTTTTTTTTTTTTTTTTTTTTTTTTTTTTTTTTTTTGTTTTTTTTTTTTTTTTTTTTTTTTTTTTTTTTTTTTTTTTTTTTTTTTTTTTTTTGTTTTTTTTTTT